CCCTACACAGAGATACCCCCCTGTTCCAATTGAAGGGCGGTGTTTGTAGCAGAAAATAAGAGCAAAGCAGCTGTAATTCTTTGAAAGGAAAACAGGCCAGAAAACAATCTATAAAAGGCTCTTTGTGGTAATTTATCACACATGTTTATTTCTTTGCATGAAATAGCTTCGGAGCAGAACCAGTGCCAGATTCCTGTGTTGCTGTCAGAGCCACCAACACAGATCTGTTTCCATTTCCACTCTTCACTTATATTGGCTAAGACCAAGTCACGAGGCAGAAATCTTCCCTCTGCATTTGAGCAACAGGCACAGCCTGACCTTGTTCCCAGAACCGGGAACAGCCCCGCTCCCTCACTCCCCTCCTCCCCAGGCCACACCACCAGGCACCCAGCAGCAGCAGCTCACTTTGGCTCCACACCTCACCACGTGCTTTTGTGATTCCCTGGGGACTTCTTGCTGAAAAAGGCTTTAAACCCAAGAGGCAGAGCTCCGTGGAGGACTGTCTCACGCTGTAATCCCCACAGATCCCGTTTATCAGGCACTAAGAATCTCCATCTCCTGCCCTCCCATCAGATCACGCCAAGCCCACGCACACAGGTGTCCTGGGAGGTTTCAACACGCCAAGTTGCAGCACCCAGGGAGCAACCCAACCCCACATGCTGCCAGGGCTCCCTTTACGGCCACCCTGCTATGGAGCAGCAGCTGTAACCTGCCTGGGGTGGCAGGGGCCCAGCTCACGCACCAGTGGGTCTGACCCATTTCCCGGAGCGTTTGGGGTCACTCGCAGCTGGGAGAAGGAAGTCACCTTGCCTTGACTTGTACATGCACATGTGTGCTTGGCAGCCAGCACCTGTGTCAGCCAGAACGAGCTTACTTGGCACCGGGAGTTGATTAGCGCTCTGTGTAACAAACATCCTTAAAAAGGTCTCTGGGTGTCCCCTTCGGCCTCTCCTGGGCGCAGAGTGCAAGCCAGGGGCCACAAGCCATAGACCTGCCACTCCTGTGTCCCTCCCTTGCCACACTGTCTCCATGGGCCACAGGGACCCACAGGAGACCACCACATCACCACAGAAGATAGCTCTTGACACACCGTGAGCGCCCCAGCTTGCAGGCAGAACCATGCAGGGACAAAACAGCAAGCTGCCAATGGGCAAAATACACCTTGCTTTTAGCAGTTGCTGCCACAACTGTGCTGTGATATGGGTGAAGAAGTGCTTCTCTCCCACGTTAGACTATTTTTAATCACATCCACATGCTTCAGGTACTGAAATACCTCTGCGCAGCTCTGCACGGAGGCACAAGGAGCTGCTTCTGAATCTGGATTTGAGAAGTGAGCCCTAAAACCACCTCAGCTCTTCACAAGGCACACTGCTGTCTGGAGGCGATGGGCTCCACCTGAGGTCCCCCTGTGCAAACTCACAGCATCGCTGCTTGCTTCAGACCTCCTCAAGGCTTGGATCTCTCCTTGGAAGATCTGACCTTTTTCTTGCTGCTGTACTTCCTCAGTGCTGTGCAACGGGCTCACTAATGAGGGCACTAATAAGTGGCTTTGCTCGTTTCTTCTGCTGCTAAAGGCCACAGTACAGCACACCCAATATATTTCTGCCCTGGCCTTGCCCTCTCTCCTATCATCACCAGTGGCTCTAAAATAATCTGCAACCCCTTAATAACCACCCAGAGAGACAACCGAGGCTGGCGGCAGCAGGATGAGATTCCTTTCCTCTCACAGCAGTACTGGTGTGCTCCTCTCTCCCTCACTTTTATTTGCGGCGTAGCAGGACAACATTTGCCCTGTAGTTCTTTGGGACCACGGCCAAGGCTTCCAGTGAAGGACATTACATACGAACGAGGGACTGACATCTGCACCGAGTTTTGAAAGCTTTGAACGTATGAAAGCAACAGCAGCAGCGACTTCGCAGTACACACAGTGATCTGTAAACCCTGCCTCTGCCAAATTTAGGTCTCAGGAGCTCAGCCAGCATCTGAGCCTTGTTTAGCCAGTGTCTAAGCCTTGTTAAGTTAAAGGTAACCTTAGCAGAAAGTTTTACTTCAACAGCAAGTTCAAGGTAACACAGTCCAAATCTGAAAGTTTAACCACAGCTCAAGAAACATCAGCGCTTGCCAGACTCTTTTTCTGGGATACTTTCCACCCAGCCCTGTTTCAGCCACACAGACAAGGATCAGGATAATGAGGTGGAAAATAAAGCAGCTACTTGGAGGACGATACTGCTTCTGTCTCCAGGCAAAAAGAACCCAAACAGTCGAGATCCAGCTGACAGTTGTTGATCGATACTTGCAATACAATTCATGGGCTAAACAGAGCTAAGTGGGTCGTGCAGATGGAGCTGGGCACATTCAACAATTTCTAAGGAAACTTGGAAGGGACAATCATCTTTCTGAAAGCACAAGCTTTTGTGCTCGAAAACAACCATTTTCCTGGGATGAGACACAAACTGTGCTTGCAGAGAGCTGGTCCTGCCCAGCAGCAAGGGTTTGTGCCCTGCTGATTCTTCCTGCACTATGTCAATGCTAAATCCAGTGCAAACACACAGCCAGCCTGTGCCAGGTAGCTGAGCACTGTATGTACAGGCATATGACAATTTGAGTCCTAGACAAAAACACTTGCCTTTTTTTCCCCCCAACCTTCACCCAAGATACAAAGGAGGAGGTAAAAAAAGACTGGGGGGAAAAAGAAAGCCTTATAATAACCACCTAGTACTCAGCCTTTCAGGTAAAAGAGTGACTGACCCTTTGTACCAAACAAAACCATGTGCTATTCAAGCCACAGGCAAAAGATCCACTTTTTTTTTTTGTTTTCTTTCCTGCTAGCCCAGCTCCCAGCAAGGAGAGATTAATTCCCAGTAAGGAATTAAACAGAGTCAGGTAATAACTCTTCACTTACCGTAAGCGATGTGAAGGTCATGCACATCCCACCAAAGCCATTCAGAGCCAGTGCGATGAATATCAGCACAGACAGAGCTGTAAGAGTAAAAATACAAATGACCTTAGCCTTTACTGGGGTGAAGGGGAAAGGAAACGGAGTCTTCAGGGCTGTGGTCCTCATATGTAAAAATCTCAGTGGATCAACACCCTCAGGACATGCCATGCTGTTCCTCACCCAGCCCCCATCTCCTCATCTCCCCCAGGACCAGAGCTCTCCTCCGAAACAGAGTTCAGGATGGGATCATCTCTCTCCAGGATGGATAGATCTCTTTCCTAATGAACAGACTTGCTGATGCAGCTTGTCTGAATGGGTCTTAAAAGGAAGATTTGCTTGAAAGAACTGGATTCAAAAATGTCATCCCACTATCTGGTCTTGAGGAGGAAGCTCCATCTATCCCTGGGGAGAAAGCCATTTACATATCGTGTGCTATTACCTATTTCCCAATTCTGAAAACGCCATGAACTTGTTTGGAATTGCTCCTTTACAGCCCCTGGCCCTGCGCAAATGCAAAGCCAAAAGCCCTGGCTATCTCAGACGTCTGGCCCTTGCTACGCTCTGCACTTGGCGTTGTGAAACACCTCCCCAGAGCCATTTAACTCCCACAGGCCAGCAGATGCTTGCCTGTGTCCTCAGCAAGACCCCAGTATAGCACTGGAGGTGTGACAACATGCAGGACCATGCACACTTGTCTGCTTCCACAAAAACCCCACGTCGCAGCCCCAAAGCCCTCCCAGCTCAGCAGAGAAATGCCTACTCACAGTCTGGGTTACTGGCACCATACGCGATCAGCACACAGGACACGGCAAAACAGGCACTGAAAGGGAACCAAAAACCATGAGTTTCTCACAGACAGCCTTACATGCAGTAAATTACACACACTTCTGCCTCCTCAGCACCTCGTTAAGCAAATGCAGCATAATTTCTATAAGAGGGAGAGGAGCTGGTGATTTGGAAAGAAAAAAAATCTAAGGAAATACCCAAATACTACAGACAAACCTTGCACAAGGGCTGACAGAGCTGTTGCTGGACCCAAATTCCCTACTGGTTTTCCAGCACAGAGCTTTGCCAGCCCTCACCTCAAGGTGACCAAAGACAGCACGGTCACGGCACTCGCAGCCTTTACCCGCTCCTCTCTGGTAGGGTCTGAGTCAGAGACTTGCCCTGGTTTGTTTTCCTCCACTCCCCACTCTGCCAACAGTTTGGTTTCTGGTACAGTTCAGTGCATGAAAATTCAGCAGTGCTGGGGTCCCCTGTGCCCAACCACTCAGTAAACCCTACACACCATGAGGGAAGCTGCTAATGACCTTGCTATTCGAAGCAGAAAGTGACACACACCATAAAGAAGGGCCCTAGAAAAGGCGAGCAGGACGTGTTTATCCCCAGATTCACTCCCCAGCTTGCAAACGGTGATGCAATATCTTGGTTTTGTGCCTCTCAGGACATAGCTCCCAGCTCAAGGAAAAAGCTCTGTGACTCACAAATGACTCCGCTCGCTCGTCCTCCAGGCTCCATCTGGCCAGGGAACATGGAGCAACTCTGGAGAGCTGAAGTGTGGACATGGAGTTCCAGGCTCTTCCCATATGGAGCAATTCACTGTGCTGGCCAAAACCATCTCAGAGCTGCTTCAGTGCCCTGTGCATGGCCAGCAGCTCCCAGCCCCATCCCTCACACAGTTCCCAAGGATGCAGAGACCCCACAGCACCCAATGTGTGAATTCACCCCTCAGCCCACCCAGGACACCAACCTGCCAAGCAGGCGCAGCTTGCGAGGGCCGTACTTGTCCATGACGATCCCCAGGGGCAGTGTGATGGCACTAAGCAGGAAGGACCCGATGGTGAAGGCCAAGTTGAGCATTTCATCCTGGGCATTGCAGGAAGGCCATTTGTGCTCCGAATCCGTGCTGTTCTCGTGTTCAGGGCTGCTGCTGGTGTTTTCTACACAGGATGACAGAAGATTATCATAGCAGTGTGCTAGGATGGGGCGTGCAGCATTGCAGGAAGGAGGGATGAGAAGAAGCAGAAGGACAAGATGAGCTCAGCTAGAAGCAGGAAAAGGATGCACAGTCACCCAGGGGACAAATATCCCAAACAGCAACTTGGTCTTTGGGTAACAGCCTAAGGACAGAGATTCATTAATTTGTGAAAACAACTGTACAGCAAGGCCCTGCAGTGAGGGACTAATACCAAAATAACGTCCTCCTAATCCACAACTGGCATGTTCTCACAACTCTCTTCCCTAACTAAACTGGAAGCGATAACTGCAGCCAAATCAGTTATTTTGGGTCCAGACACTGGGCTGACAAGGACTGGCACAGAGCAACTGCCTGCTCAAACGAAAAGCTTCCTGCTCTCACTGCGGGCATCAGGATGAGGGATGGCTCTGCAGCAGCCACCTTGCTCCTGACTGCCCTGGCTCCAAAAAAAACCCTTCTGGGATTTAACTACCCTGATCCCAGGAGGGCTGGCAGCTCACCTGCCTTCTCCATTTGTTAATGGATTGATGCATCTTTAATTTCTGCCTCATAATTAGCATTTTCTGTTCTTTCCAAGTGGGTTTAGGCTGTACAGATCAACTGTACCTCCAGCTTTCTGTTCTTGCCCTCACATGAGGAACTCCGCATGCAAACTCCCATGCTGAACAGAGCCTACGTTGTGCAAGAACAGAAACAGGACAGAAAGAAGTTCCCTTTTCTTTGCAGCAGCAGTTTTACTGCCCCATATCAACCCTGCTCCTCTGACAAGCCTGTCCCAAGGTGGCTTACAACTCCTCACACAAGCTCATGTGCCTTTAGACTTTCATTAACCCCGAGCTTCAGCAGTCTCCACCCCTCCTTCTCCCAGGGCTTATCTGACTTCAGTAACCTTTGCTGGTATGACAAAGCACTTGCTTTCTCACTGCTGCTGCAAGTCAGTGACAGAAAACGCTCTCCTCCATATTTAATAATTGATCTGACAAAGTTCAATATTAAAGGAGAAACTGAGAGTGAAGTCACCTACATAACCAGCCGTATGAAGCGAGACTAGAGATTCCCAGCGAGCCCAAGTCAGTTAGTTAGTTAATTAGCAGGAATCCCTCACGTACCACTGACTTCACAGTCACCGCTTGCTGCAGCTCGTGGAGGAGATCCCCTTGGCTGCTCTTGCCCTTCCTGTGTCTCTGGAAATCGCACAACTCCTTCCCTTCCACCCAAGCCTCAGTCCCACCAGTTCCTGGTTTCACCCTGGTTCTCCCAGCTGCCCAAAACAACCCTCCCAGCTTTGTGTCCACTGCAAACAGATCACACTCCACCTTTCAGACACCAGGTATAGGAGCAGGAATTCAGACACTGATATCTGAGGCTTACGAGCTGCCTGCAAACCTTCCTGTGCCTCTCCCATGACTGTGGGGAAGGCAGAGCATTTCTCTCCATTTACATTACGGAGATGGCCTCAAACCCCTCCTGTGGGCAGCAGAGGCTGTTTGTTCCTTCCCTTAGCCGTGTTCTCCTGATGGATAACTTGATCTGCTCCTTCTCCTGCCCTGCCAGTCATAGAGAGCCAGAGCAAGCGCCAGAGAGATCCCCAAAAGGCCTTGTGTCCCATCAGTGTCCCTTCTGCAGGAAGGACAGTGCTCCAGCCTGAGGAGCCCAAGTCACATCCTTAGAAATCAGCCCTGGACAGACCCGGGAGCTTCTCTGCAGTTTTCACAC